GAGGAATTGATATAAAAAAAGCAAATGGTATCTCAGTAGTGTTAGTCAAATGATAGTCAGATAGTCAAATGATGACTTAGATCTTATGAAAATGATGATTGTTTACACTTTTCTCCTTATAAATTACCCACAGCCTTTTTCTGTTGCTACTCCAAACAAATTTGCTTGTTTTGGCTGTTTTAGTTTTCCTTTTTCAGACTTTGTTCCTTTTATTTTCACATGGTAATCCTGCAAATAACACATTTGTCCCTTTGTGGCTACAATAATTGTTGCACTGTATTTATTGAAGCAGCCACGGTTGTCACATGGCTGGATTACAAACATGTCTGCCTTTCTTCATCTTCATGACATGGTTGATAAGATTTTCATAGTTGCCAATGTTTCAAAAAAAATGAAGGGTGGGGTATTTGTTTTTAAAATGGGCATGATTATACAAGTGGCATATTGTTAACCTATTGTTCAATTTTGAATTTTGAAATACTGTATTTATCATAATGACCGAAACACAGCTAAGAATATATTGAAAAAATAACTGCAAACACATTTGCTACAAAATATTTAGAAAAAAAATTTGACCGTAACTTTTCTGTAGTACTGCACCATATGTTGTGGTTGCTGATGGGCTGAAGGTTTGCGTAGGCTGCAAAAATCCTGTGTAATAAAACTGGTTAGGACCAGCATTTAATATGATGTGCAGCATAGTATATGCAGTGCAGGGGTCAGAAGTAAAATGCACAACATAGTATATACAGTGTGCATTGTGAATACAGTGCAGGGGTCAGGTGTATAATGTTTAACATAGCATATACATTGTAGGGGTCAGGAGTATATTTTACAACATAGTGAATGCAGTAAAGGGGTTGGGTGTATCATGTACAAGATAACATATATTTTGCAGGGGTCAGGAGTATAACCTGCAACATAGCATACACAGTGAAAGGTACAGAAATATATTATACAACAGTGAATGCAGTGTAGAGTTCAGGGGTATACTATACAATATAACGGTGTAAAGTACAGGAGTATAATGTACAAAATAGTGTATACAATGCAGGAGCCAGGAGTATAATTTACAACAAATTGTATATAGCAGTGGGTTCAATATAATGTACAATAAAGCTTGTACAATGCAAGGGTTAGTATAATGTGCAACATAGTGAATGCAGTGCAGGAGTCAGGCGTATAATGTACAATAAAGCTTGTACAATGCAAGGGTTAGTATAATGTACAACATAATGAATGCAGTGCAGGGGTCAGGAGAATAATGTACAACATGACCTATACAGTGCAGGGGTCAAGAGTATAAGTGCAACATAGTGAATGCAGCTGTCAATGAGTATAACCTACAGCATAACTTTTACTGTGCAGGGGTCAGGAGTATAATGTACAATGTAGTGAATTCAGGGGTCAGGATTATAATGTACAACATAGCATATACATTGCAGGGGTCATTTGTATAATGCAAAACTTAGTGAATGCAGTACAGGGGTCAGGTGTGTATTGTACAACATAGTAAATGCAGTACTAGGGTCCAGACTGTATAAGATACAGCACTGTGTACATATTGCCGTGGTGAGTAATACGGTGCCCTTTACTGCTGTTAAGTAAGAGAAAATATGCCCCAATGTTGATGAAAGAAAGTATAGTAATAGCCCCCCACCTCCATCGTAAATTGGCCAACCCCTCTTTGCCTCCCCCTTATTGCATCATCAGTGCCCAGGTGTTTATGCAGTGTGGCTGGTATGGGTGTATAGTGTGGGTGAGCAGCATCTCACCTCTCTCCTTCTCACCAGCTGTTTCACTGCTTCCTCTCCCAAAGCTATATACTTAACTGACCACACTCCTGCCAGATTTATTATAAAGAGCTGTGAACTGCACAGTGTCGGGGGTGAGGGGAATATGATCCGGGTGGCTGACATACCCTTTGGTTTGCAGCTGGAAACTATTCCAGCCATTCATTCTTATACAGAGAGCTATTGTAATGCAGTGGCATATTAGAGGGTATATCATCCACCCGGAGCACCCCATTAGGTTTCTTCACTTGTTACTAGCAGAGTATATGAATGCACCCTCTAAGTGCACAATGTGTTTCTATTTATATGCAAATTGTAAATGTAAGAAGATTGTCAATATTTCAAGAAGTGGGCTTTCAGTGTATTTCCACCTTTGCAGCCAAATTGGGATAACACCTACTTTATATCTGTTACATGTTCCCATTCACATAGCATAAACTAAAACAATATTTAAAACATGCTTCTTGCAGTTTCAATTGCTTTTACCTGTTATGTTTTCTTGGCTTCTGAAGGGTTAACATTTCTACTTGTCTTCTTCTTCTTCTTTGTAATGTTAGGAGGGCTTGTGATTGGTCAGGGGTTTGCATTGCATGTTAACCTCCCTGGCAGTATTCCCGAGTGTGGCTTGTGGTTAATTTTCAGTACCAAGAGCGGTAACCCCGAGCCACACTCGGGATAGCGCAAAAGTGTCACTTACCTTGTCCGTGCAAACTCGCGGTGTCCTCTGCTGTGTTCGGCCGTCCGATGCAAGCATTCGGCTTTCAGTTTCGTTTTCAGGGGTCACAGCAGAGGGCAGGGCTGGCGGGAAATTCAAAAGTGAAAACATGACATTTACACAGAATACACACAATACAATGTAATCTGCTATAAAAGAAGGATCATTAACGAGGTCGGCTCCCGGAAAGGGGCACCCGCCGGAAAACTAAGTCAGAGACAGCAAGGCAACTAGATTTTTTAGAGGGAAATCACCAATGACAGGCTTTGTATTTTTCTGGCTACGGGTGTCCTTTATATAAGTTTTGTTTGTGGTGATTCATACTGTTTCCTGTTATACAACACTCCACAAAAAGCAGGAGACCTTCCTATTCATTCCAATATGCTATGAGTTCTGTTAATGAATGGTACTTGTCATTTTTTTTATATATATTATAGGCTTTTAATTTGTGAGTTCTGGAAAAACTGTGCAGAAAATCCCATGCTGAGATTGTTGCTATTTTATTTCCGCTTAGCTCTGCTCCTTGATTGTTTGTGCATTGTAGCATTTTCTTAATGCTAAGGCTTTTATTCACTTTCTTGTTGTGAGTCCTTGTTGGTCTCTCTTTTATGGCTGTGCAGCAGGGTGTCCAAAAGGAATAGGTTAATTTTTTCCATCTATAAAGTTCCTTTTTTTCTTGGCATGCTGTGATTAAGCATGCAGTGTTCAGACAGCAGCTTTTTCAGTGTACTGAACAATTAGTATTGTGTTCTTTTTTCCTTAAACTAATTAGTTACTTTTTATCTTTTTTATCTCATAACATATTATAAAAAAGATTCATGAAGTGCCTGATAGAAACAAATGTTATTTTTTCATTTTGTAAAGGAGAGACTTGTAAAATAAAAAAATAGGAAAGGCTAGCTGTTGAGATAACAGGGTTACTTCTCTAAGTTTTATTTTAATGTTAATTCTAAATTGGTTGCCACATTTTTTAATTAATTGACATTTAATAAAGCAGCAGCAACCATTCCCAGATAAATTTTTTAATTTATAATAAATTGCCTTTATAAATATACTCTAAAATGGTATGATTTGGCTTCTCTGCTGATTGATAGATAGACTGAGTGGCCACATTATTATGATCACCTGACGTTTGTAGGCAAATTAGCTATAATTAGCTATAATTTCGCGCTGAAGTTGCTAGAGGGCCAGACCATTATAAATAGGGAAGCAGGTTATTTACCACGACAACATATAATGGGGGATGTGGACAGAACACCAGTTTTCCTACAAATATACTTCCACTATTCTACTCAGCGGGAACTTAGTTTGCCAAAAGTCTAACACAAACACAAATGGCAATTGTGCGATTTCATTCTAGCCAGCCTCATAAAATCTTGCTGAAAAAAAAAAGTTTGGGCTTTTGATATACTTTTGATATGGGACAGGTTGGGCAAACTACTCATGAGAGCCACAAAACGATAAACAAGCATAGATGTAATAGATGTGTCATTCATAGATACAGTATGTGCACCTAGAATTTCAGTTATATATGCATTGGAACACCAAGAAGAATAACTTGCATTTTGCTTTGTACATTATATTGTTTTGTTCACACAATATTAAGAAAGCCAGGTAAACTGAGCAACCATGATAGATGTATTTTATTAAATATGAATATTGTGTTCCTGGTAATTGTGGCAGTAAGGAGGAAGATAATACTATGGCAACATGCATTCAGTGTCTGAATTTAGTTTCCTAGGAATTACAAGCCTCACATTAAAATGAATATCAACAGGTTGTTCCAGGAATCTATTCCAGACAGTATGCTGCTCTAGTTTATGTGACATTGTAGTGAGCAAAGTTTACTCAACTACAAAATAATGGAGTTTTTCTTACATAATATTGCAGTATAAAGCCACCTAAAATGATATCCTAATGCTGGGGGCTTGGGCATACTTTTCATCTTGTATTGTAGGCACTGTTTAATTCTTACTAATAAGTATTACAATCACTTTCTCATACAAGTCTAATTGTAGACCAAAGCTGGGTACAGATGGAGCGAATTGTAGACAATTCAACGGAAATCAGCTGCAAGCACAATTCAAGTATTCTGACAGTAGCCGATGCCACTGTCAAAATAAAATGTGCACAATGGGAGAGTCATTCATCCATGCTGTTAGCATGGATGGAGGAATCTGTCATATCTGTAGAAAAAAATATAACCCAATTTAAGCAGTAGGTGTGCACTTTTAAAGTTTATCTGAACCCAAAAATACATATATTGCAGATTACCAGACCTTTGGTGCTCACATTTATTTTCTTTTTTTAAGGCTTTTTCCTATATTTGTATCTGGAGATTCTGCAACTTACTCATTTGCAGTCCTAGTATGACAACACTAGGCTGAACTTTTGTATCAGGACAACAAAAACAATATAGTACTATGGACCCGCACCCCTTCCCTATTGATGATTCTAAAACTGTCATCTGATTATAAATATTTATTCTGTAGACCCCCTATGCTATGCTGACTGGTGCTGGAGCAAATAAGTTTGCAGAAACAATGAAGATTAAACAAGTCCCAAGAGAAGAACTGGTGACTGAGCTCGCTATAAAGGAATGGGAACAATATCAAAAATATAAACAAAGTGTCACATGTCTTTTCAACTCGGAGCAGTAAGTACCATATAAAGGTTTAGATCATGTCAGCTGTACATGTTGTCAATAATCATGATAACAAGAGAATCTTCTATGAAAAGACATCTGTAAATATTAATATAATGGTTATTATTGATTTCTATATTCATCTTGTCCTGTGGCAAAGTACAAACTAATGGGCATATTTAAATAATTTGACATTCACCACACATTTACTTCAGGTGATTCTTCCTGCTGCATGTGTTTTGAATGACAGTGATTGATTCACAAGTGAATGTTTAGCAAAAGTCACATTCACTGCTTTATAAATATGAACCTAGGCTAGATGTTTGTACAGATTGGTGAGTTTAAAAGCTGCATTTGCAGGGTTGGAGAGTGACAAATAACACAGGATTGATGAACTGTGAAGAAACGTGTAAGAAGTCCAGTATGCCACTCTGTAAAAAGTGAATGAAAGAAGAATATCGCGTGAAATTGGGGTAGTATCTGAGAATTAGGAAATACATGAATGTGGTGTCAAGTTAAAGAGAGCTTTAAAGGTTAGAATATGATTTTTTACCTGTATTCCCCATGTAGATGGCAACCAGTATCAGTATTGATACATTATCAGTAGACCCTAGAAGAGGTTGTTACAGTAGTCAAGCGAGGTTATGATATAATAAACATTTTGTGCCAAGCCTTTGGAAGGTATAGATAAAGGAAATGTTTCTAAATTGGAGTTGACACTGCATTAAAGTGAGGTGAACAGAGCCAAATATTACCTTTTAACAACAAAGTAAGGAAGCTAAATTCTTAGCAACCACAACTGTAACTGTAGACATACAAGCAAACTGAGTTGTTGGAAAAGGTATAGGTTTATATTACATATGTTAAATTTGACATAAAAGCTAAAGAACGTGGCTAAATTAAGAAAAGTGTCATATTAGGAAAGTAAGGTTGGGATGTGAACATAGATTTTAGCATAATTTACATATAAGTAATATTAGACCCAGATGAGCTAATAAATTGATCAAGACCATAACTATACACTAAAAAATGTAGAGCCCTATGGAAGCATGGAGACCTAAGGAAAGAACTGTCTATGTACAGTGGAGCAGGGACATGTGGTCAGGGGAGGCAGATGAGGCAGAGCCTCACCTAGTATTATGGAGGAAAAAGCTGTCAGCTTCAAGTCTGAAGTTGACAGCTTTTTCTCCATTCAGAACGGCTTGTAACAGGTTACATAGCAGGGAAAGCCTCCCCGCTGTGTAACCTGTCATGGATGGAGCGCTGCCTGTTAATTACAGGTGGCGCTGCATCCGGCTTTTGGCAGCTATTTAGGTTACACAGCAGCAGGCTTCCCACTGTTTGTGTAACCTAAATAGTGAGGCAAGAGCTTCAACAGCCCATACTCTATGTTATAGGCTTGAGCTCTGTGGATGGTTTTGACCAATGGCAAGTGCCATTTGTCCAAGCTGTCCAATCAAAAAGAAAATAAAAACACTGAGGACATTGATCTCGATGCCTCACCAGTGATAAGCAAGTGAGGGACAGGTAGGCTTCTCCCTATCTCCTACATTTCTCCTCCCTCCTTCACACTAGCTTGGTGACTGGGCTGGGGGTGAGGCTTCGGTGGGCTGGGGCGGGGCGTCAGTGGGCTGGGTGCTGGGGGC